GGTGCAAATTACTGACCTCTGTCATCATTTTAAGTGGGGGAACTTGCACAATCGGTGGCTGACTAAATACTTTTTTGCCCCACTGTATCTGGATTCACATATCCTAACATTATTCACATCAAGCTGGTTATCAGCACACTCAGTTAACCCGGGCTTCCTCTGCATGTTTGCACAATAGGGGTAGCAATGGCAGCTGACTAATTGGAAACACGGATCGGTGTACTGGCAACAAGACAGCTGATTTTATAAAGGAAGATAAGACTAGATAAGAAAAATGAGGACGTTAACAATGTAATGCAGACAAAGCAATACAGCTACTGTCTGTGAAGGTTCTCAGTCATCCAGGTCGTCGTAGTCTAAGGAGCTTAGAAAGAAAAGCATCTGGACTTTTTTAAATTAATACAGCTTCTACAGAAAAAGCAGCCGTGTTAAAAGTGCTGTATGAATGCATGTGCACTTTTAATGTTTTGGTTAGTAAGCCTGGACATATTAATCAAGTTGAAGGTAACAAAGTTCAATTAATGTCAATTTTCTTTGTATAGCACCAAATCACAACAACAGTTGCCTCAATGCCAAATGTGTGATATCACAACTCTGTTATTAGGACATGGAGGAGTCTGATGGATTAAAATACAGTATTTCAATAAACGGAGTGTTCATTAGTCTGAGAGCAAGCAAAGAACAAATATAAAACAAAATTCAAATGTAGGATTTAGTTGATGTGCAAATTTGATATTAAGTCAGTAAATACAAATACATGTACTGTTTGAGGATCATATGTTAATGTTTACAGAAAACCGGTTGCAGTCACCAGAGAGAAGTCAAGGGATAGAGTTCACAATGCTTAATGACATTCAACAGTACTTCAGATCTACGTCTCTGGATAGTTCTAAATGAACCAAAGAACCTTCCAGTAATGCTGATGGTATTTTCCAGAGAACTGATTGGTCAGTAAGCAGCAATTTTATAGCTGTCAATCTATAATCTGGAACACAAGTTACCCTGGTAAGAACGACCTTCATATTACAGAAAACCCAGGGTTAAGAATGAAGCTACCTGGAAGAAGTCTCTTTATAGTATAGACCTGTGATTATAGACACACTGAACTCTGCCAACTCACCTGGAGGAGCAACACTCAGGAAGATGATACTACTGTGCCTCACGTTGTCATTCTCTTTCCAGACAACATAACATTTATAGCTTCCACTATCAGCAGTCGTCACATTCTTCAGAATCAAAGACACGTCATCATCCTTCATCTGTCTGTCCTGCAGATCCACTCGGTTCTTAAAAGACTCATGCTGGTCTTCTGGAATAAAATTCTCATCCCGGTACACAAGGACATAATCTGTCTCAAGGTCAGCTCTGCTCCACTCTACAATGATGATGGAGTGGTGGTTGTTTGGAACCTGACATGGCAGAATGACGTCCTGTCCAGACACAGCTGTGACACTTTTCTGATCTGAAAGAGGAAACAACACAGAGCAGAGAGCAGGGTTCATACACCTTTTTCAGGTCAAATTCAAGCACTTTCTAAGCACTTTCAAGGTCCCTTTTCAAACTTTGCTAGACCCGCCCCTGCACAGTTACCAGCTGTCAGCTACTTAGAAAAGGATCCTGGTGTTATCTGTCTCTCAGAAACAGTTCATAACTTCCCTTCAACTCATTCATGTCACCTAAAAAGTAAACCTGTTTCTCCATCACCTGTTCAGCTCTGATGATTCAGTAAGGACGTCTCCTGGTTTCATCTTCATGCTTCCCTCTCACCACATATCCAAACTGATATCATGACCAGCAGCTTAACAGCTGTGGCTCCAGCAAACATCAGCTGATACTAGAAATTAATTGATCAGTTTCGTAGCGTAGCGTAAAGACACAGAATAACTCCAGCTTTGTGTCTTTTTTTCATTCTAGCTTTAATGCGATACAAATCGCGTTCCTTTTTCCCTCAATACCATTTTCTTCTGTTTGTCTGTGATAAGAGCCGTCAGAGCCGTTGGCGAAGCAATGAGGAGGACCTCCTCTAATTGGTCCAGCCCAGAGTCGATCATGACCAATCCGCCACCTTTCTTTGTTTATACGGTTACAAAAAACAAAACAAAACAAAAAAACAAAACAAAACAAGAAAAGGCCAGTCAAACTGCGGTTAAACCATAAGTTAACCAAATAAGCCTAAAGCGTGGTTTGTAGTACAGGCCACCCAAATTAAACATACGGATACAAGCGTTAACATTTTTTTTCGTCTCTGTGAAAATTTGCAGTCAAGGAGGAACTATTTAGCTCGTTAATGCACGCGGTCATCGTATGGAACAGATGGAAATGATTCTTACGAAATTATTTTTTTCCTTTCGTAAAACTGCAGACTGCCGATTTTTTTAACCACATAACTCATACTTTTTTTGCGTTTTAACTCAGAGGGAAACACAGTTTCGTTTCTAACGGTTAAATCTTACCTCCAGAAACAAGCGGGAAGATGCCGATCAGCAGCAAAGTCGAGCAGAGTGACGAGGACATTTTCATTTTTCTGACAACGCTTAAAGCTCGACTCTGGCGAGGAAGTCGAGGTAGAGTGACGTATGGTATATATGCGGAACTGGGGTGTGTACCATCTTCTACAGTCATTGGGCTGTAGCCTTCCTGTAGGTCGGTGTCGTGCCACTTAGGTACCGAATTTGTTTCCCATGCGCGCAGTGTAGACAGAGCAGATACAGTTGACTGCGCATCGATTCCAACAACTAGACGCGGAAGTACTGGTGTTTTAGGTTACAGGAAAAGTGAAAGATGAGTGCACCAATTTGGTCGTTACATTACAGTTCAGTTTGTGGGTTACAACAGAAAATAGTTTTTCCGGGATTTGAACAGGCAGAACAAATTGTGGCAGGATCATCCTGTTATTATCTCCCTTTAACTTTACTGTATAAAGAGCTAAGATCTCCAACATTTCAGGAGTAGTTAGTCATTGTAAGAAGTATTTGTAAACTAAATATCAAGGATGTGGGATACTGTTTGTTCGTGATTTTGGAAGCCCAGTGCGTGCTCGTGACAAGGGGAAACAAATTCTCTTGACATAACCCCATTCCAGTAAAATCAGAAACAACGTAATTTGTTTTGGTTCTTATCGCTAGCAAAAATTGTTATTGATCCCTTTACCCCGAGTCCTAACGTGTATATTTATTTTCTTACTCTTTTTATTATCTATCTATTTATTGTTTGTTTACTTGCACTGCTGTAACTGGAGCCTCGTCGTCTCGTCTCTCTATATACTGGACTGTATGTAGCGGAGATGACAATAAAGTTTTACTTTGACTTCAGCAGCGAGCAGGCGCACCAAGAGCTCTCGCGCTCACTTTTCACGTTTCGAAAAAACATCGGTGCAAATTATAAGTCTGTATTATAATGTCTGGTGTTTTCGTGTTTGTTGTTTTGCTTTTATTTTGTTTTATTTTGCGAGTTGGTTATTAGATGCTGCTCCAGCCAGTCAGAGAATCCCCCGCCGCCCCGCCCTCTCCTCTCTGCGCCGCAGGCAGCAGGCGCACCTCGCAAACGGAGGGCGCCCTTACTCCCAGCACATCGGCGATAGAAAACTGATCGGTGCCTATGCCATTCCCAGTGCGCGCTGGCTGAGGTCGGGGCAGCATGAGTACGAGCAATTTTATTTATCCGCCCCCCACCACGATGCCGCCCCGGGCAACCGCCCGTGTCGCCCGTATCAAAAACCGCTACTGGATATGATACACTAGCATAAATTAAGGTTTACAAATGTGTCCAATGATTTGCGTGTAACCTCCGAGGACCACGTTTACAACCCCTTTGAGACAAAGTTCTCTTCATAATATTTTCAGAATCAGAATGCAGTACTTTAATAATCCCTAAGGACATTATGGAAATGTTTACTAGTGATGTGACGTTCTCTATCGAGGCTTCAAAGCTTGTGTCGAGTAATGGAGGGGGCGTTTCCGCGATGCGCGTAACGAGGGAGGAGCTTTTATGGGAGGAGCTGAAAATGATGACGTCCGAAGCCTCGCTGCCTGGCTGTACCACGTGACTGGTTCGGGAAGTGGTTCGAACTTTGCCGCGAGCTATGACAGCGATATAAACCCCTCAGACTTCATTCAAAATGTGGGTGTTTGATGGAGAGTTGCGGTTAGTGAGAGTTTGGAGACAGTTTTGAGGTTTAGGAGAGTGAGGAGAGAAAGTCAGGAGAGAATGGAGCCAGCTAAGAACAGGAGGATGTCCTCCCCTGTGTGGGATCTCATTCCTCCCAACAAGGTGTGTAAATTTCTACAGAAGATGTATTTTCATAATACTGATGGTGCAATACAATTTATGTTAAGCTGTCTTTACTTTTGTACAAGGTGAAGTGTTTGCTATGTGCCAGGGAGCTGGGATATAACAACAACACCTCATCCATGCTTAGGCACTACAGAGCTTTGCATGAGAATAAGGGGAACACCGATTGTGGAGCAAGACCAGGTGAACCATCAAATGCCATGATTGTATAAAAGGCCCCAAAGTTCATATAATAGTTTATTGGTGTTTATAAGTTTATATAAGTTCATTTGATATTCAGTCTTCTGTCAGTTTGGGCCAGCCCGCCTTCTAGTGACATCATCCGGTTAGTAAGGTGGGCAGTTTAATGTCAGATGAGCAGTGTTGGTCCGGAGAGGGTGCACTGATTCCTGAGGAATGTATGTGTGCGTAAATGACAAGTAAGTAGTGACCTGTGTTGTATTTTGCCTTTGTTTGTGTCAGTACTGTAGTATGTTACCATTTAGGAACTAATGTAGTCCATAGTTGGAGCGGTAGGCCACGCATGCAACGCGTGAGTTCACCCTCATTTCATATGTTAATTTATGTTGTTAGCTTACCCCGGTTTAGCTTTGTTGACGCATGTACGGTCGCTCGCCTATAACGTCATTCCTGTTAGCAGACCTTCTCTGTATGTTATATGTGATGCTTGTGATTGTTTACTTTGAAGTAGCGGAGTTTGTAGCGAACAATTAGGTACGAGGATTAATAAAATAGCGAACGTAGTTCGACCGGAAGTATGGCGTCCCGCTTGCCCTTCACAATAAGAGCATAACAGCAGATTATAATGGGGAAGCTTATTTTGTATAACTACCGGAAGTAGTTCCTGTGTACTGACGGTTGCTTAACCTCGCACTAATGCTGTTTAGTTGCATAGTGTGAGCAGTTTGAAGTGTATTATATTTTTCTGATCTTTATAGTTGAGTATGTTAACTATATTGTATTATGTCTGTATTTGAGTGTTTTACTTGTCTATTCTCTTTATTTATTGTTATTTCCATTGTTTATTTCCTCTGTAGGAAACCACACACACACACATTATTACATCATTAAATCCTAGCTATGGTCTCCCCACTAAAAAGGTCATAAAATCAGTGAAAATGTAGTTTTTACAGAATAAAATGTGAACAGGCAGGACTGAGGCCTCAGTGTGTAGCTGTCCATACCTCAACGTTACAAAAGCACAACCACTGTCCACACCCCAACCACACCTCACCTCACAGTAAATGATCATTTCCATTTTATTTTGCGCAAATGATCATTTTCCATACTGCCAGTATAAATATACACAGTATACTGCCATCACTACAATATAGATGTTTTACACACTCCTTTTGTTGTTGACATTTACAGGCTGTGTGCAAAAGGCCACACTCTTCAAATTCATGCCAACTAATATTTTTACGTCCAGTAGGTGTCCTACTAGAGCAAATGAAGCTTCAAGAAGCTTTGTGCTGGAGTGAACCAATTGGATGAAAAGCTTCAGTGCTTCATGAAGCTTCATCTGCCCATCAATAACGTTTACTATTGTTTGCATTCAGTACCACCATCTTGGATTGCTTACTCAGGTTGTGTTGGGAAACTGGAGTTGAGGGAGCATTTCACAAAATATTTCTGACTGGAAACTTCCAACCTAATCAGGAAGGCTCCTTGAGATTGCTGTAGGTGGCTTAAAATTAGATCGCATGTCCCAAGAGGCATTAGGTTGTAATGTTCAGCAATTTTTAATGGATCTCTTTGAAATGTGTTTCAGGATTTTCTTTTGTTTTTAAGCTGCTCTTGTTCATTATATTATGATATTTGTACTTTTTGATAACTGCACAAATATTGATACGGCACATCTAAAAAAACCTTTGGCCTAAATTCACCAGTGTTTTTGGGACTCAAAGCTAAGACATTTCACTTGAATTTGTTTTACTTCGTCTGTTCTCGTTCTTACACGTTCAATCCATATAAAATTTCATCATGACCAGGATTTTGGGGACTTGTGATCCATATTCTGTTCACCAGCTTTATTTAACCTTCTGGGTTTGTTCAACATCACTATCCTCTCAGCTTGTTCTTGGCCAAGAGTGTCCACCAACAGATTAGGTCTAATTTCTTTTATTGTTATGGGTTTTTTTTATTGTTGCAATTTTGTCTGCGTAAAGTTTTTAACTAACTTCAGCTCTTTTCATAAATATAAAATAGTTATTACTTTTTACATTTTAACCCTTTAAACACCAGTTTGTTTGTACACTTCACTTGTTCTAAGACAACCTTAAAACTCCCAATTTCATATATTCACAGTGCTACTGACATTTCTTGTGTTATTAATGGTGGCGTCTGGGACATGTAATTGATTCACATCAACATTGATTATTATTCATCGTGATTTTTGTGCAGGGAGATCAAACAAAATGCTATAAAATTAATATATATTAAAAAAATCATTGAATAATGGAGATTTGCCGCGTTAGTGCGGTTATGGAATTAACGTCATTTTAATTAGATTAACGCTGACAGCACTAATAAAAACATAAAATCCCTATTTTTTTCTAAATAATACATCTAATCTGATTTATTTTCTAACTATCATTGCTGTTAAATGTATAGCAATAATTAACAGTATCAATTATTTTAATGCATTTTTTTTTCTGCAGTCACATAAAAAAAGGAAAAACTCCCTCTCAGCTTGTTCATCGCCAAAAAAATCAGCCGACATCCAAAGAAAATCTTTGAAAAATGTTGGGACAGCCTGGGAATCTACCACTCAAGACCACTTAAATAATTAAAACCAAATCTGGCATCCGGGCCCGGTATGCCTGATGTTTTATTTTGGTTTTGGTTTTTGTAACGGTATAAACAATGAAAGGTGGTGGATTGGCCAGATGCTGGCAAATGTCGGGGGGCGGGTTCATTCCACTGCAGGGCAACCTACCACTGCATGTGGCGAATAAAATTTGAACTTGAACTTGAAATGTATAAAAATAACTCAATTGTTTGGTGGTGGCTATGGCGGAGCTTCCACAGATGCAGTAACATTAGTAAGTGGTGGAGGCCAGCGGGTGGATGAGGGAAAGGGGAGGCAGGAGGAGGAGAGACCCGAGGCGGCCGCCAGTTCGAGTGTCAGGTGAACTGAACTCCAGGTAAGAAGTTATGACCTGCAGTCTATCAGGGTCAGATATAAACCAAGTTTAGGTGGAGTTTATTTTCATTATGCTGACTTTTTACAGTCAGTTACAATAACTCGTACTGCGTGAGTTAGCATGACGGAGTTTCTATACA